TATATATATTGCATTTTTTTAGGTTTTGAGTTTTATGATTACGCAAATGACCTTAGAGGTTCTTCTGGATGTCTTTTGTGGTGATATGACTTTGTTACACATACGAGCTCGATATTATGTTTAAAGGCAACCAAGATCCTCTTCTATTTCAGTCATATGATTGTTGGGATTTTTTTGGATGGCCTTTGTGATGATATGACTTTATGACACATATGTAGCTCGGTTTTACAACGTATAAATACAACTAAGATTCCCTATTTTCACAAATGAGCTCGGTTTTACATAAGTTAAATACAACCAAGAAACTTTTTTAAAGTATACCGTCTTCTTGCATTGATTGATTATTCGTTGGTTTATACTTCACAAATTTATAAAACTTTATTTTTATATTTTCTATTATTCTTTTTTGACTAGTGTTGCATCTAAGGGTCTGTGCTTTATGGTTTTAAACCTTTAGAAAAGATGAGGTCGAGGCCATCCGACGTCTCTAAAATATTGCACAACCACAATTGACTGTAGTGTTCTCTGCTTACTTTGCGACATGAGTATAACTATAGGAGGTAGTTTTATAGGGGTCCAAGGAATATATAAGAGAACTGTGACTTTTTCAGGTGGGTGGATCAGTTCGATGATTCCACTTCCGATAGTGTACAAACATGAAGAGTTTCGTGGAGCAGAGATTATCTGGTGAAACTAATCATCGACATTTTAAATTGAACATTATGATAATATTATTTATTATTTTATGATTTCATTTTTATTTTGATTGTTCTTTTACTCACTGTTTTGTGATATGTTAGTTTTATTATATAATATTGAAATTGAATATCCGTTTTAATTTATGAAATGTGCAACCGAGACTGATTCTGCTATAAATAACATAATAATACAGGGGTAAAAAAGTCTTTTTATCATAAACAGCTGCAGCACAGCTGTTGTACAATTGTTCAAACAAATTGACATGCAGTTTACTTGCAATAACTTCTTGACACAACTACTACGCAATAACTTTTTAATAAGTTGCAGTTGCCCCAAGCAGGCTCTAAAAAAGTATTATTAATCAGTCTTTATTATTGACAAATTTTAATTACATTGATTGGTATTAAGGTTATGGTGTATACAAATTATATTATAATTAAATATCTTGCACCTAAAATGATAATGAAACCTAAATTTATTAGATGAATTTTATTATAATAAGAGTTTGACTTAAGAATCTGTGATAAAAGCTATAAAAAAATGGTTGATCACATTTCTTGACTAAATGGAACATTGCTGAAAATAAGTTAATGATTTGATATTTTTTCTTGTTGAGTATGTTTGCTTTGAATGTGTCTTTGTATGCAGATACAATCATTTCCTCATTAGTAACATTACAACTTATGAATTGACTTGTAATAACAAAATTTTCCATGATATTAAATTCATTTTTAGGATAAACCTTATTTGCTTAATAAATATATGGATTATATCATTCGAAGATGTATATCCTTAGAATAAGTTTGAAGTATAGTCAATAAATGTCATGAATCTAAATATGATGGCCATTTTATAGGTTATAAAATGAGTCGTAAGATTTCACTATCAAATTTTTGATTGGCATACCCTATTTAAGGCTATTAATGAATCTGCTAAGAGGCATGCTTAATGTCAAATGATAAATTGTATAGCTAAAAGAGAGAAAATGCCCAATTTTATTATAACATGAAAATTTAAATTTTTAAAATTCCATTTTTAGTTCATTTAATTTTTATTTCTATTCATTTAGATGTTAGTTTTAGATTAAATTAGGGTTGGCTCGAGTTTAGTTCAAGTGGGTTCCAGTTATAGCTTATCTGAGTTCAATTCAATCATCTAGTGACAATAGGAGGAAAATTTTATGTCCCAATGTGATTGGTTGTATTTAGCGGTGACTCTAAGGTAGTAATTAAAATTTTGAAGTAGAATATTTTTGTAAGATTTGGAACACCTAGGGTTATAATCAATGATGGAGGAAGTCATTTTTGTCAAAGAAAAATTTGAGACTTAAGTAGCTAAAATGGTAATTAAATACATAATAGCTACTAACCCTTAAATTAGTGGATAAATTGAGATATCGAATGGGGAAACAAAGTAGATATTAGAGAAAATAGTCGATCTTTTTAGAAAAGATTATTCATCGAGATTGGTCGACGCTTTATGAACTTATAGTAACAACTTATAAAACTCTAATAGGAATCTCCCCTTATAAATGATATTTGAAAAAGCCTCAGTTAAGCATAAAATTAGAATATAAGGTTTTTTAGGTAATTAAGAATTTGAATTATAATTGAAAATAGTTTGGAGAGAAAATATTACTATATTTGAATGTGTTAAAAAAAAATTAGACTGGAGGCTTATAAGAATGTTAAGATTTATAAAGAGCAAACTACAAAATGATATGACATTGAAAATTTATTAAGAAGCATTTTGAAGATGAATAAGAATTTTTGCTAATTAATTCTATATTATATTACCAATAAAGTTGAAGTCCAGGTGATCAGGTCTTTTCATTGTAGTGAAAGTCTGCTACTATAACATATTAATATTGAGAATAGAAAAAATGCCCAAAATTTAAAGTTAATAAATAGAGATTAACACCGCATTTAAGATGGGTTATAGATTGTTAATGGATTTCAATTAATGTGGTTCACATTTGTTAGATAACATAGGACAATTAGGCTAAGGGCTATAATCTAATAGATTCTTGGGATGCAATTCAAGATTTTTGTGGTATCATATTCTTTGCGTATTATTGTTATTTTTCAAAAATTAACTAAATTTTGTGTGGCAGGTACAATTCCTAAGTGCTGATTAATTAATGATGTAGCACTGAATTATGGTAGTATCAGAAGTGGTAAGTATTTCAACTACCTTGAAATGTTGTGTAGCATTGCAGTGTGGTTGTGTAGCACCAAAAAGCAGTTTGAGATCTTGTATCTTGTTGATTGGTTAATTTTGTAATATTGCTATTGACTTTTGACTTTTTTGTTATAACATCACATTGATGCTTTTGATTAGTGTCACAATGCTAGTATAGTCAATGGTTTG